AATTAGAGATTCCGTCCAATCCCGGCGTTTTATTATTCCCTACACGGTTACAAGCCTCTAGCAGTTCTTCTTCAGTGACAGGTGGGATGTCGTCCACTTCGCCTGGCGCGAACTGGTAATCGAAGTTGCGTTGGTGTGGAAACAGTGCAGTGACGATTTTCTGAAGAAGTTGGGGACACGTAGGTGATGGCATTTGTTGTTTTTTCAGGTGGGTCATAACCACCTTATAAGGTCTACCCCACACGTCTTTATCCACCTCATATATAAGGTCTTTCCAGCATCTTCTTTTGCTCTCTTTGATGGTTCACGGCGGGCCTTTTTGTACTCTGCAAATAGTTCCACAGAGTTAGTTCGTCGGTAGTCACGCTGAGATATTCTTCTCTTTTGATGACTCTCTTTACGAAGGGCGCTGATGTGGTCGTTCCATCAGTGAACGGAAGGTCTTGTGTTCATGCTACGTCTGCGAGACATACTGGCGTCGCACGCCTGGGTCACTCTTTTCATCCGGTCCTTGGTCTTCTCTTCTGCGCAGCCTGCGATAATCTGGTCACTATTGAGAGCTACTAACAATGCACTTGGATCAAGCGTTTTTACCTTCCAACCAATGGTGTTAAGTTGCTCTTTAGGTCTTCTCGGGCTCTGGGCGTTTAATATTTCCCAGAGAATCGCGTTGTGGTCGCTGGCTGTGTAGGTATCCATCACCTTCCAGTTGATATTACCTCGGGTGAGGCTGCTACTGACGAAGGTGAGATCTACAATAGAACTTGCGTCTCCCTTTGGGTACTCAGGTGTTTATATGGCTCTGCTATTAGTACCAAGTCAAGCTCTAGTTCTCGCACGGGTTGCATGAGCAGGTCATGCGCTGCCTCACGATGGTTGAGATTGAGCTGCAGTATCCTCATGCTTGTTTGTTCGTTAACTTCTGGAGTGCATTCTGAAATACCGGGCACTTATGTACCGGCATGGTGGGCAACATTCTCTACACTTTCAATCTCAGCACATAATGCACATTTGGCTGGATTTTCGCAATCAGCAATCTTGTGCCCTTCTTGTTCGCACCTGATGCAAAGCCTAGACCGATCGACTTTACTTTTGCACTGGGATCCGAAGTGCGCAAAGTGCCAGCATTTGACGCATTGGACAGGTCTCTTCGTTGCTCTTATTCGGCAGTTGGCCCTACCAATTCTCACTTTGCTGTTTCCTTCTAGTAACTTCTGTGCAGTTGTCGCTGGTAGCGTTACTGTAGCAGTCTGAGTACCTCTGTAGGTTTTACGGATCTTGATCGACTCCAGAGGTATTTCATAGATTTCTCCAGCTTCTTTTTTCAGTACAGTTTGAATATCTGCGTTCGTCGTGTCGTCATTGATGTCTCGGATCTCGATAGTCTCCTGTGGTCCTTTGCATATCACTTTGGCTTCCTCTTTAATGATGTCCGCGATGGTCTTTTGTAGGGCTTCGCCTCTATCAGCACTCTTTCTTGAAAGTGTGATCAGCATGGCCCGGTATTGGTCTTGTGGATTTTTACAGTCGTACGGACATGTTCATCAGGGACGGACTGCTTGATTCGACGCAGAATCTCGGCGTATTTCTCCTTCTCGGCAGGGCGAATGATCAGTGCGTCGGGTCTGATCCATTTGCGGGGTTTTTCCCGCTTACGCTCCGGCCTGGGCTCCTTCGCAGTCTGCTTTAGGAGCTGCTCTTCGGCTAGTCTCCTCTTCTCCTTCCTTGATTGGACGTTTTGCCAGGCAGCTGCGTCTTTATTTTCGGCGTTCTGCTTCGTCACGTCTTTCGGAGGACTTGACTTCAGGTCCTTCTTCTTTGCCACTCGCCTTTCTGTTGGATCTGGCGAGTTTCGGTCCTTCCTCTTATTAGACTTGGGAGCACCTTCACTCTTGTCGTCAGCAACAGATTCACCGTCACCATCGGCACCGGTGTCCATTGATTCCTCTGTCTCAAAAACAGCTTGACTGCCTTTCTCTGGCGTAATGCGAGGCGTTAGTCGTCGTGATGACTGCCATTCCTCGTCCAGTTTCTTGTATCTTCTAAGAGCATTGACTACACCGGTTGTCTTGGTCTTAATCTCCTTGTGGATGTTGACCTTAGTTTGGACAAACTCTTGTAGCTCAATGGTCAGCTTTTCAA